AATTGCCTAAAAAAGAGCTAAAACTTTATGCATATCATGGCACCACGCTGGTGTAAACTAATTATGGTTACTTTTTTCAGCAAAATGTATTGTGTAGTCTATAAATACGCTTATATTCATGAAATGACCGTTCACTTTTAGCAGATAACAGCTTATAATAGCGAAGCAAACAATCTTAATAACTGCTTGAAAACGAGCGAAAACTTTATGTATACATCATGGCAACACGCTGGTGTAAATATGACTGTTATATTAATTTCTTCACAGGTTTCGCATACAGCTTCCGACGCAATAAACCATTCGATTCAGAAGTTCCTGCAGCTTTTAATGTCTGTTCGCGAAATCATCATTGTTCCGAATTTACGTTTGCTCTACTAATTACACGTAACCCGGAAAGCTTATTTTCAGAGACGAGTAGAATTTTATGAGATATGGATATGCGGATATGATGAAGTGTGGTGGACACCCGCTCTTTAATACTAAGTAATGTGTATATTCCCCAGCCGCACTAATTATCCAGTTAACTATACTCCACAGGGCCCACAGTGGGCCCCGCCAGGCATTGCTTTGAATGCGTTGTATTTGATGCGGATATGATGAAGTGTGGTGGACACCCGTTCTTTAATACTAAGTAATGTGTATATTCCCCAGCCGCACTAATTATCCAGTTAACTATACTCCACAGGGCCCACAGTGGGCCCCGCCAGGCATTGCTTTGAATGCGTTGTATTTGATGCGGATATGATGAAGTGTGGTGGACACCCGTTCTTTAATACTAAGTAATGTGTATATTCCCCAGCCGCACTAATTATCCAGTTAACTATACTCCACAGGGCCCACAGTGAGCCCCGCCAGGCATTGCTTTGAATGCGTTGTATTTGATGCGTACAACATTGAGGGTTGAATCTTTTCTGGTGGGTATTAGATCTTTCTACCGCTTGACCAGTTGTTTGTCAGACCTGGAAAGAAACAATTCTTTTTCTTTTTCATGGATGCTTTTACAAATGATGCCTCTCGCACATACATATTATGGAGCACAGCTATAGATATGTTTGCATTTTTACAGATCTGTTTGTTATGATTAGATGTGATCTTTATCTTTAAGGTTACTTTCTGGAATTTTGAATGAGATTTTTAGGTTCTGACATCTGTTATTGTGATAGAGTTTTAGAATATGATAAGTAGCAAGGCTCTCAATAGGTTTCCATTGTTAAGAGTATAATTTTTAGCTATATTGCTCGATTGTTGCAATTCCGTACAGTTTCTTCTTAGAGTAAATGTTGTGGCATTTTTTAATATACTGCGTTATTTCAGTTTCACTTCTTGCTCTGAGAATATCCTTGTAATGCTATTTTATTCTGTGTTGCATAGCTTAGTGTCTCTTGTTGACAGAGGTTCATTGTGTTTATCATTTCTTTTTTGAGATGTTTGTTTTTGATAGCATATCTTATAAAAGGATTTATTTCGCTTTCAGAGTTCAGAAGTTTTAGATGAAGCTCAGCTGTAAGGAAGCATTTAAATATGTAGTATTCTGGGATGTCTCTTTCTCCATATATACATTGATCTGATGAGTTAAGTTTCTTGCACAAAAATGCGTGGAAAAGTGACCATACTCCGACATCAACTATGTTATTTCTCTTGTTATTGAACTAGATGCAGTGCCTACTTCTGAGAACAATTGCTAGGTCCTTCTCTCTTATTAGGCATTGTCTCACCACTTGAGCTTTAAATTCGTTGGTTATGAGTTTTTTTTTAGGTTTTGAAGGGCGAGTTAGGCCATGTTTTGCGCATTTTGACCCTAGCTGTTTCTTTAGCTAGGATGTCAGCCTCTTTCTTGAATTTTGTCCCTGCATGTGCTTTCTAACAGTCACAAAGAAATGCTGATTTTATAAAGTTCTTTCTGTAATCTCTTGGATTAATTCTGATCTATGGTGCGGATTCAAGATGTCGGGCATCGCTGAATGTGAAGATACATCAAGCTTTTACGGAGTTTGTGATGCTGTATTTTATTCCTTCCAGAAGAGCTACTAATTTTGCTTGGAATACAATGTTTTATTGGTACAATCGGAAAATTTTTCATTTTTGGGGTTGGAGGTCTAGGTAGATTTTGAATGCGCTGTCTTTACTCTCTTCTAGGCCGCAGTCTGCATAGGAATTTGGAGAATTGCTTTTCGTTTGCTTCTTTTTTCATTCTTAATGCCATGTTATTTTTCTTTCTTGGTTGGTGCTCCTATGGGTGTGTCAGTGTCTCGTATTTGTCTGCTATAAGCTCTAGGGAGTTGTAGTGACTTTTCTATCGTAGTTGCAGTACTATTGTCTTGTGGAGTTCTTGTTTGAATAAAATGTGGTCTGATGTTAGTGATTTGAAAGAGGACTGCGTTCCATTCTATTCCCTTCATTCACTTTGGAATGGTTATCATTTTGGAGATCATGTGTTTTATATAGTCTAGATGGTTTATAAAGTTAAGCTTTTTATCAATAATGATGCCCATTTATTTTAGGAAGTTAACTATTTTGATTTGTTTGCTTCGATTTCGAACCTTGGAAGTCTTGTTATCTTTTGTGAGGGTTTGTATAAGGGCTCGGGAATTTTCTTGTAAAATTATTAGTTTTAGCTGTTTGATTAGAGAATTTAAATTTTCTAGTGTTTCGTGTACATTTCTTTGTACTTCATCTCTGGAGCTACCATTCTCGATAAAAAGCGCATCGTTTGCCAAAACTATGCATTTAGATAGTTGGAGCTATTTGTATTGTATGATTTTGTCAAACGCCAGATTCAAAAAATCTGCATGAGCCCTGCGGACAGCCTTTGACTTGTACTATTTCGATTATACGGTTGTTATTTATAATTACGATTCACCTGCTAATGAAATAATCTTGAAAAATTTCCTAGATGTTTTTTGGTTTGTTTATGTCTTTCAGTATGCTGCAACATCCGGCTACCAGAAGGAATCAAAGGCCCTCTGAAGGTTTAGGCACAACAGAACTGAGTGCTGATTCTGCAATTTATTTCTTTTTATCTTTATTGATTTTTCTTTATAGATTGTATGTACAGTGCTCTTATTCGAAAAGAACCCGAAATGGTGCGGGCTTATCGTGTTGGACTTTCTTATATGATGTTCGAGGTGGTTCACTAAAGCTCCCTGCAGTATTTTTCCCATTGCATGACGAAAGTTTATTGGGCAGAAGGAATTTGCAGTTGATACATTCTGGCTTTTTTTTATTAAAATGGATTGTCTGACCTATATAAAAACATGTTGGGATGAGGCTTGTTTTTAGACATTTAATCATTTAAGAGATAGAAGACTTACAGTTTAATTCATTGAACAGTTAGAATTGTAAATAGTACGTAAGAGAGTTATGTATTCGTTCGGAAGTTGTAAGGATCTTAAGTTTAACTAACGTTTATTTTATTTTAAATCTTTACTATCACTTCTTATTTTCTACTTGCGTCCAGAATTAAAAGCTTTAACTTATTTATGCAAATTTGTCTGGCGAACGCCAAGTACTTAAGTTGTGGCTTTTTGCCAAGCGAGAGAGAGGAAGGAGTTACTCGAAGCAGGCCGCTTGCCTTTGAAGTTTTACTCGGTTTCTGGTTGCCTTCCAGGCCAGAGGTTTAATCCTCTTAATAATTTTAAACGTATTGTAGTGTTAACAGTTCTCTGTACTACATACGGCTTCCTGTTAATATACGGCCAATCTTCCACGTAGGCCCTTGTTTATTATTCCAAAGTTAAGTTAGAGTTTAGTTAAATATTTTTATATTCTTACGTTCAGACCACAAGTAGTTGGTCTCTGTATTCCGAAGTACGGAAATTATTGTAAAGAGTGAAAAATAAAGAGTTTCGTATACCCTTCCTGTGTATCTTGTCTACTTCCCACATTTATTGAACATAGCTTTAGTAAGCTCCCTGTTCCGAGTCAGGTTCTTCAATGTTCCCCAAGCAAGTAAGGAGAAACACTGAACCTGATAAAGTTAGCTGAATCCTCAAGTTTTATACTAATATTATAAACACTATTATAAATTCAGTTGCAAGATATACTTGTTTCGAACTAACAGGGAGATGTTTAGTTCAGTGATCTTAATTTTTGCGCGTATGATACTTCGGTGATATTTAACGTATCTTAGGTCGTTAGTTTCTAAAACATAAAAAAGGGAAGTCATGTTAAGGAATATTTAGATACTATTGATAAGTGCTATCAAACAGCATCTTTTAACATTGCCACTGACTTTGCATATTCATAACTGATTTCAGGTAATTTCGCAACAAAAATTCGTATGTGTCTGAAAATTTGGATAGTTATATCCACGAGTTGGCGTTCTAAATAACGTTCATAATAAAATTCTGTAGCAGCATATATAAAATGCTTGCATTGTTAGATAGCCATTTATATGCTGAAGAGGATGTCTTATGCCTTGATTTTATCTAATAATTGAGAACATAACATTTTTAATGAAAATAAGTGATTTTATATCCTCTCATAGACATCACAAAACTAGTTATAAATTCAGGATTTCAGGTTAGAACGTCATCTTTTGGGTATAATAATAGCTAGTGAACTTCCATACTAAACACTTTTTATGCAAAAAAACCTGTAATTTTATACATGTATCGCTATTTTCATTAATTTGTATCGCATCACTTAAAATTTTTTTTTTAATATTTACAGAATATTTTGATCTTGTGAGCACATAACTGCTTTTCTATTAAAGCATTTTTAATTATAGCAGGCACCATGCAATTTAATTTATTATCATTATTAAAACATATATACTGTACTTTCTTATCTTTTTATATCAGTACACATTTAAATGCCCGTCAAAAAAAAAAAAAAAAAAAAACAAGAAACTTAATTTTATTATATCTGTAAAAACAATTCATGCGGATAACTGTAATTCCTCATATGTGGAGTCCGGATAACTGGAGTTACTACTGTTTATGTTTTGTTATTAACTAATTATTTTCACTCAAAAAATTGAATACTTTTATTCTTTTCAGAGCTGGGAAGCCGTGGATCACGATTCCTCCACATTCACTCCTGATATCACCCCTCTTATCCTGGCCGCCCACCGCGACAACTACGAGATTGTCAAGATCCTCCTGGACAGGGGTGCCGTCCTGCCTGCCCCTCATGACATTAGATGTGCATGCAGCGACTGCGTCCGTTCATGCTCCGAGGATTCATTAAACCATTCACGGTCTCGCATCAACGCATACCGGGCTTTGGCCTCACCCAGCCTCATTGCCTTGTCGTCGAAAGACCCCATTCTGACGGCCTTTCTGCTCAGTCACGAGCTGAGGAGGTTGAGCTACTTAGAGCACGAGTACAAATGCGAATATATGGTATGTATGGAGATCATTATAAACAAGTGAAAAAGGTATTGTTTTCAGAACATCAAAAATTCTGATCAACTTTAAGATACGTAATAAAATTCTGTAGTAGCATATCTTGCATCGTCGAATCAACTGATCAACTTTAAGATACGTAATAAAATTCTGTAGTAGCATATCTTGCATCGCCGAATGCTTGCATCGTCGAATTTCTAAATGACTAACAATAAACTAACAATAAAGTTATTTAACTAACAATAAAGTAAACCATACATATTTATTTTTCAAATCCTGCGATGTCTGAGGCAGGAATTTTATTAAGCACTTCAGTTCCAGTCCAACATTTACAAAATCTTTCGATCTGAGTACGGTTTGAATTTGGTGTCAGTTTCGTAACTATTAAGTCTTTTAAATCACTTCTCACTGTCACAGCACTCATGCTAAATCTTTTAAGCCACAAAACGTGGCAGTAGCTTGCAAGCCGAGAGATCATTTTTCCGAGCTCATTTACATTTGTGGCGTGGAATAATTTTGGAAACGGGAGAAATAGACAAGATGCTTTTTTATATATATATTTAAAACTTAACATCGGACTTTTAAAAGGCAACATCACCGAAAAGTTAATGTATTTTGAAGATTACATAACGAAAGACCAAAAACAGATACTGAAGCAGAAAACTTAGGAAAAAAAGTTGCAGATGCAGAAAACATACGCAAGAAAGCTCTTACTGTCTTCGATTTTGTGTGTTCTTGCCTTTAAAAAAAGGTGGCCGCCAGGGAAACACTCCCTACGCTTCGAACACTTTTCCTGTCATTGGTGAGCATTGGAATCTGTAGAAACAAAATAACCACAGTGAAAAGATTCTTTCAAATGAGAAGGAAACAGTTAGCTGATGCTATAATTTTATAGCTGAAATTAATTTTATTTATACAGTTTGCATTTTCTAAACACGCACACACACACACATACATACACAAAAAAAAAAAAAAAAAAAAAATACTGAATTATATGCACTTTTCATGTTTTACATTTGCTTAAAAGTGAAGTAACATTCCTACTGGTAACATTGCTATATGGCATAAATAAAGTTTAAAGCTGTGAATACGCGCGTAATCTTGAATTTATAAAACTCGTAAATAAGAGAACAGTGGAGCGGAAAAATCTCTAAACACGGGTAGTTCCGACTTGGGTTTGATTCCAGGCAAACGGGCTGGCCGCATAGGCGTTTTCTTCGGTTTTCCCATGTGTAACGTGTACACAAGCCAGTTTGCGCTTTGCAGTAATCCACTAAACTCGGTCTACTTGCAAGCATGTCTGAAGGAAAAGAAAACAGAAAAACAATAAATTTATAATTATTAGGGATTTATATCCCAATGCTGTTTAGAACTATTGCGGAATTTCTGTTAGTTTCTGTTAGTTCTGTTAGTGATTTCGTATTATAGAAGAAACTCAGTAAATTCATGCATTAATACATGCAATTTTCACATTAAAATCTTCCAGAAAATAGAACGTTAATCGCAAAAATCTAATTTGAATTAGAAGAATATAATAGCGTATATTGTCTCTGATGTTTGAAAAACTGAATCAACTGAATCGATGTGCGATTTTAAAACTCATTCATAACGTCTGGCTACGTTTAATAATACGTCGGTAAATCACAACTTTCTTTTACAGCGCGAATCAAAGAAAATGGTTTCGTGCTTATACTTAACATATCGCTAAGAGAAATGAATGCCGTAAGAAAGTGAACTTCTCAAACTAAAGAACAAAATAAAACACTTGCAACCAAATTCTTTTTATTGCCTTTAACTGCTTGTCGATTCGAAAGCTTACAGTTCTTATGGATATTGCTGCATCAGTGCAATTGTAAATCCTAAATAGAGATTTCCCTTTTTTTAAATGTTTTCATTTAAAAGTTTCTTCACTTCTACTCAATGGCCGAAGTGCTGTTTTAAAATCATGTCTCTTTAATCTCTCGGCTTCAGGATCATTTCTGAACAATGATTTCCAAATTAGGCTGGCTAATAATCGGGAAATGATTAGGTGTTACTCACAATAAGTTGCAACGTGGGCGACTGCATACGTCATTGCTATAACTGATCTTTGTTGCTTCATATTCAGGACCATCTTGGCTGTTGATATGACTCTCAGACATGTGACTCTTATTGAAATGAAGATATAAAATTTCAAATTTAATGTACCATTCAGCATTTCCCTTAAATACCATAAAACATATTTACATATTTCTCATTTTTGAGTACCGTAATTTTATTGGTCATTGCTTTTAGTAAATATTTATTAATATGCTGATTTTAGTGAAAATTTAAGTTTTTCGAGGCACAGAAGTTGGAAGTCCATATCCTAAAATTCATTTTAATGCCAAATTCCTGATTTTAATAATAAAAATACTCGTTTTGTCTTCGTGTTTTATTATTTCTTATTATTGCTACTAAATTCTAACCAAAACTGACATGAATTTGTTCACTGATATTTCTTTACAATCATATTGATCATTTAACAATGCTTTCTAAATCACAAATATACTGTGTCATAATTCTACTTGTGATAATTACATAAATCTTAATTATACTTATATAACAATGTCTAAGAAAACATGCTAGTCCTACATCAGACTTAGAGTTTTAGAAAGACACATCTACATACAAACATTTATGTTATTGTTTAATCATTGTTTGTTTCTCTTCAGCCACAAATATTCGAAGCAAAAGTTAAAGGAACTCTTAGTTAATGTAAAAGACTGCGTAACTCAAATGCGATCGTCCTCCATATTTTAAAAATACTTACGTCTTTTTAAAATCATTTCAGCAAGATTTTTATCGTATCATTTCCTTCCCCAGTTGCTGAAATTAATAAACAAAAAAAAAGGAAGATTCAAAACAGAATTCTTCCTTCGTTAGCCTCATAAACTGGGACCTTGAAAAACATCTCTATGACGTCAGAAATGACAGACACTTCGTCCAGAATAACCCGTCAGGTCATCTTCCGCGTCATGGCACATTACGGGTTATAAATAGGTTCCATGAAAGTTTCTCTACATCCCCTACTCATAAACGCAGCATTTCTGTTGACAACTTTTCCCTTCATACCATCCCCACCTCGCACGTGTACCCGCCTCAGCAAGTTATTGTGTGTTTTCATCCGGGAACTCCAGCGGTTTTAATTAATTTTTGGTCTAAGCCTCCCCCGGACTTCGTTGTTAATGACGTAGTGAGAATGATATTTAAGTAAGACGTGTATCTTACAGGTGGAAAATTAAGCATTGTATGTACGTGCCTTCGTATGAGTAACAGCTTTGGGATATAGTAATACATTTCTGACTGCTTAATTTCCTACATTACGAAACTGTCTTAAATGTTCACTTCTAGTATGTTTCTCTCTGTCTGTATGATATATTTATGTACATATTATCTTCACTCATTATGAATACATTAGCTAAGATATTCCATAACTAGACAGTTTCAGCTCAGTGTTGGTCATGACTGTAAATGAACTTTTATAAAATTCTGCATTTTATTCTGAAAATATATTTCCAAGACCAATATTTAAAGAAATAAAGGTATTTTCTGATTATCTGCACCGCCATTCTAAACTGGCAAAAAAACATTCTCCTTGGTTAGCTCCACGCCTCATAGGTACTGTTTTGTTCACAAGTAATAATCAAAAGACGAATTTTAAAGCAAAAAAACATATGATGTGTACATATGACTTCCTTGTACGGAATATTAAATTATACGCATTTTTTCTTGAATTTAATTTAAACTTATTGGATTTACTTAAATCTACTTCGTCGATAGCGCATAAACCATAAGAGAATAATTGCACTCTTTAAACTTCACTATATTTGTTTACCATAGTGACACTCTGGCGTTAGGTTCACTTAACAGCGTTGCATTTCATTCATTTTATAACTCAGAATGCACAAAATTTATAACATCTGAAGAATTATCTAATCGCTGCTACATGTTCTATTCAATTACTATAATAAATCTAAAACGATGTATAAAGAAATTAAACAAATAAAAAAGAAACAGTTTTTCACAGACGATTCAGTATTTCTCATTCAATTAATTCAATTCTCACTTCGCGACAAGGCAAAAATACATAAAAACTCAAAATATCTATATTAAAAGTTACGAAGTAAATCTTAAACGCTTACTTCCTCCAATAATTTCCTGACTGGATTAAGCATGATTTAATTCGCAATAATAAATGAAGGCGTTATCTTTGTTGTTGCGAAGCTTAGTTTCTCTAGATTGGCAACAAATCCACTATTCTGCTAAGTTACAAATGTAAACAAGTATGGTCGCCATGGTGAAAATACTTAGGCTTAGCCGCATTCAAAAAACTTTTAAATTGTTAATAATTCTACAAATATTGCACGAAGATTTACTAAAGGCATACAAACCTTAACCGAAAGATAAGAACAACATAATTCAATCATTTTTTAAAGAAAAAATGCACAATTTACAAACATATAAGAATAAAGAAACTAGGCTCACTGAGCCGAGTAACAGAGTATATATATATATATATATATATATTATAAGCAAAGTTGTAAGTACAATACTAAAAAGACCAATTTTGGTCAACTTTTTTTTTTTTTTTTCGCAATATGCTGCAAAATTAAGGAAATGAGAAGAGAAATTGTAGTTAGCTCGCCAAAAAGTTACCAAAAGCTGTGGCTCCAAGAAAAAGTTAATTAATAAAATAATGACATTGAATGAGTGACAAATATTAGGCTACTTGTGAAATAAAATGTAAATTATAAAACACAGTAAAATACTAATCGTTGGAAACAAGTTAAAAGCAAAAAATAAAACACAGTAAAAAACCAATTGATGGAACAAGTAAAAAACATATAAAAAACAAAAACTAAAAAGCGAAAAATGGTAAATTAGCTCAATTCGAGGTCCACCCTGACTTTTCAAAGGAAATTTCTGGGTGAACATCGAACCAAGCTAACTCCATTACGCGTTTCGCCGAAACAGAC